CAGCAGCACAATTATTTACCAATATCTGCAGAAACTACCTATTAGAGTATAAATAAAATACAAATTTGCTGAGAAATCATAATGGTCTTACGAGAAGAAGCAGTACCAAAACAAAGAATTCCAGTATCAGACTGGAAGATGATGACCTTCAGGGCCAAACAATCTACCAGCCAAGAGGGAAAAGTTTCAGCCTCACTTCTAAGATGAATGCTAACGTAAGACGAATGCCAACGTAAGAGCTGTTTTCACAACTACATATTTTGATGACTAATTTGATTGTCTCAGAACCTGTTAACTGACTATGATTTCATACAAAGTGATCCTGGAGCAAGGGGAGGTGAGAGTGCAAAAAGAACATACCAGTAACTGTGGCTCCCTGTTTTCATCTATTGGAGGAAGACCCGTTATAATTTCTAGCAAGACCTAGGAGGAAAAAAAATGAGAAAAGAAAATGAAGCATAGAATAATCCTTAGCATATATACTATTTCCAAAAAGGAGCATGACTCCAAACCTTTCAAAGAAATGCTCACAGTACCTGTGTTTGTCCCAAGATACCTCTCTATACAACTGATTGTTGCTGCTGTTGGTCCTGCCTTTATTTCCACTGTTATTACCAGTGTGGTTTATGAATTTCAGCACAAGTTCTTCTCACCCTACACGGTGCTCCTTCAAAGCAACATGGAAGGATTTCTCAAGTATTCAGACACAGTGTCTGGCCTAGCTTCCCATGAAACTAAATGCCATGAAGGAAGTAGTTAATAGTAATTAGGGTTTTGGATCTATTCAGAATGGATTCATTATTCTTCCAAATATTAAGCTCATGTCTTTTTTGTACTCAGCTCTGAGGCAAAGCCCATGTGGACAGTGTACTTTTGGTGCTAAAACACACTTAATTTTGGACCATTTTCTGGAATTTCTTTCTCAGCCCGAGTTACACTTTTGCGCAATACAATGCAAGAAGGAACAAAGTTCCACATCACTTCAAACCACATTTACATAGCACCTGGAATATTATTTTACTCTGGTCTTTCACACAGAAATTCAACATATTCACATCATTTTTAAACCAATCAAAGTTCAGAAATATTATCTCAAGAAAACATCTAAGGGGGAAAGAAAAATTATAAACCTGAGTAGATTATGTCATTTCAGATATTCTGGATTTTGCATGCTTTTATCATTGACCAAAAAAACATGTACACTGCTTCCTACATTCTACTTACTACTCCAAAACTGAAGATGTCAGACTTTGGTGTTATCTCTCCTCGCAGAGCTTCGGGTGCCATGTAGGCTGCTGTTCCAACAATTCTTTCAGTCATGATTGTCTGTGTGAATGTTACAGATGCTCTTGAAAGGCCAAAGTCAGAAATTTTGGGCATGTATGTATCAGTTAATAAGATATTTGCACTGGAGGAGAGGGGAGGAGGGGAAAAAAAAAAGAGAATTTTCCAGACCAGTAATTAGGTTTTATAACAGACTGCTAACTCTTTAGTAACCAAATGTAAACTCCTATTCTGACTGTCTTCAAAGCCAAAATATTTATACATTATCCATATTAAAAAATGCAAGTTCATTTTGTTGGAAATCACTCTATTTAGAAATTAATTGTTCTAAATAAATCAACTGTCTGCCAAGATCCAGCCATATTTTTTCTTGTGTGTGCATGCATGCATGCAAAAAAGCCCAAGAAAAAAAAAAACAACAGATACCCCTCCCTACCCCCAAACCCTACAAATACAAAACTTTCTTATAAGAGACCAATTATGTTACACTTTTGTTTTGGCTTCATGAAGGACAATAGAGAACAGCTCTGATCTGAAAATAAAGAGTAGCTCTGAACAACTGGTATTGGATTACAGTATGATTCTTAGAGTCTCAGTCTCTGCTCAGAACTAATTATCTAATACTATGTCAACCGTTACAAAAGAATACTAATATTCTTATTCTTGCCTTGGAAGAAAACCAGAAAAACCTATTACTGCTAGAATAATCTATGTGCTGTGTTTCCACTTGATCTCCAGCTTTTACTTTCCTTAAAAAAAAAACCCAAAACCTGACAAACGTGAGTCATCTAAAAGACCATAACACTTTCATAAAATACTCAGTGAGATGAATTACAGCATACATCTACTGGTTTTTAAACTTGTAGCACTTGGAACCATTTTAAAATCACTTGATTTAATATTTCTGTAATACTCATTTTCTGATCCCCTTAATGGAACTGTAAGAAAACCACATAGCCTGGTACAACATAAAACACTTACTAGAAACTTAGACTTCTAACTTCCCATTCTTCTTGTTCACCAAATCTTAATGAAATTAAGACAGCTCTAAGTTACAATGGATCACTTGGTGCCAGAACTGCTGTAAATAATGCTAAATGTAAGACCACCACAAAAGGCTAAACACTAGTCAAGGTATTACCCACCAACTTTCATATTTAAAGCTCAGCTTCTAAAAGAAAGGGCAAAATCACATCGTCGTAAATCTGAGCTTCTTATCACCTTCAATCAAGTCCAAAGAGTGGTCACGACTTTGATATACCACAAAGAGCACAACAGAAACAAGTTTTACTGCAACTGTCAAGCTTCAAGAGATAAATGAACTATTTCCTGGGCATAACCAAGCCAAAAAACTGCGAAGAACTATGAGAACACCCATACAATCATGTGTTCTCTAGCCTGGAGAAGCTGCTTCTACTGCCTGTATGGTCTCCACATGTCATGGCAACATGAAGACTGAAGTTAACTTCTCAGATGTCTCTTCCTCTAAGTTTTGCCTGGAGTGAACTATGAATAACACGAACCAAGTTGATTGAACTATTCACACTGCAAGTACAAGAGGTTGCAAAATGGAATCCAAACAATAATCAAAACAAACCTCAATTCACAGCAGTTTGAAGGGCAGAAGCAGTGCAAGATAAAAACATGCATCTCTTCCAGTCATTACACTTCTCCAGAGGCTTAAGCAGGCAAGAAAAAAGAAACATACATTGTCAAAGCAACAAGCAGATACTATGAGGCAGCTGAAGCAAAACTCACAAGCTGAAAGGTCACAAACCTGAAGTGGTCCCAGTAGAGGAGGGAACTGGGGGTGTTTTGCCTGGAGAAAAGGAGGCTCAGGGGACACACCTTACTCCTATCTACAACTACCTGAAAGGAGGTTGTAGCAAGGTGAGGGTCAGCCTCTTCTCCTGAGTAACAAGAATTAGGATGAGAGGCAATGGCCTCAAGTTGCACCATAGGAGCATGGGATATCTGAAAACATTTCTTCACCAAAATGGTTGTCCAGCATTGGAACAGGCTGCCCAGAAAACCAGTCGAGTCACCATCCCTGGAGGTAGTTAAAAGACATGTAGATATGGCACTTCAGGATGTGGTTTAGTGGTGGCCATGGCAGTGCTGGGCTAACAGCTGGACTCGATTTTAAAGGTCTTTTCCACCCTAAACAATTCTATGGGTCTAATAACCTCAGAATTATCTTCAGAAGTCGTGTCCTTGCGGCACAGACAAGATTATTGTAATGGATGTCACTTGCAGAAAAGATTGTGCTTTTGGCTGAAGCAACAGTTCTTGCAGATTGTTCTCTCTAAAGTTACTTTAACAGGAGAAGAAAAAAAGCAAGTAAGAAAAACTAAAGAGTAAAAATGCAGCCAGCAATAGTCAGCAGCCTTTACCTTTTAATATCTCTGTGAATATGATTATTTTCATGCAAAAAGTTGATGCCATTTGCTGTACCTTGAACAATTTTACATCTTGTATTCCAAGAAATTGGTGGAGAGTTGTCCTTGAATAAGAAATAAAATTGAGCAAATGTGAAAATCTAATATATATGTATATGCTGACATAAACCAAAACATACAAAACCCCCACAATCCCAAACTGACTTCTTGCAATGTTTTGTTATTTTCAAGTAAATCATTGAAAAGACTAACAGCATACATTTCTTAATTTCCTTGGGCAGAAATACATGCACTGGTCACATTGAGTTCTTTCCCTGCATTTTGCCTGAGATTAATTCACAGGTTGCAAAACATATTCTTGATTAACATTCGACTCTGAGCCTACAAAGCCAAGCTGCACTGCACAGAACTATGTGTATCTCTACCTCACCTTCCACTCTGTATTGGCTCTGATAACAAAGCCTTTCACCCAGAGCAAATAATTCAAAGCAATCCACACCTTTTACTAGCAATGAGAAGTCAAATTTTCCAGTGGCTTTGGATTTACGACCTCACAGGAGTTTAGCCTGATTCATGTTACTAACTAGGCCTTAGAAGTGTGGACACTTACATTTCAAACCCACTTCTTAATCTTGTCAGTGGCCAAGGGAAAAGCATTAACAGTATCTCACCATTCTAGCCCCTCCCTCGCCTGCTCCTCAAAATCCAGACAAGAAGATGATATAAGCATGAGTCTGTGCCTCAAACACACGCAGTGAAATCACAAAATGAAGTTATCAGCAAGGGCACACATTCAGTAAGTCTATTCCTCACATAGTTGACCTTATCAGACTCACTGATTTATAGATTCTGTCATAAATTTGTCTCTTCCTTGTAAACGACTCAGTTATTTCTACTCCAGCTTTCAGTTACCACCAATCTTTTAAGCTCATTTAATGATAATAGCCTAAGTTACATGGATGAACATTTTCATATACATCCTTGTCAAGCACAGCTCATTTCTACACATAAAATTGCACTGTCCTTAGGTAAGACTTAGTCTCTCTTCTGCACTGTCAGTTCAAAAAACCAAAATAATTGCATATGTAGCAGTGTGTGCAAGCAAATTAATCAACCTAAACTGAGAGAGCAGTGCTACCAAACACATCCAGTTCCTTCCCAACCACTGCTAGTCATTCTAATCCTAATACCACTTCTTTCCTACTGGAGCAGCAGGATTTGTGCAGCCTGGCAGAGGAAACCTCTCCAGGTGAAAATGCAAGATCTTTGTCACCAAGTATTTTTTTCTAGCTTGATCAGTTCCCTAAGCCAGATCTTTCTCCAGCCAATAAATCCTAGAGCCAGTACAAGAGGATCAGTGCAGAAAAAAAGCAACACTTTTAGGTCTGGAGACATGGTGGGTGGAAGTAGCACCAATTTAAAAGGTTCACCATATTACAACCTCAGAAGCTGCATTTGCTTAGTATAGAGCAGATTTTTTGAACTCCTTCAACAAACTAACATGGACACTCATCTACTAGCTTAAGTCTAGCATGCTACTGGTATCACTCTGTCCTTCATACACAGAGTTGCCTCACCAAATCAAAGCAGCTTATTATTTATTAAAGGCCAAGACAAGAAGATAAACCATTTGATTAAATCAGAAGAGAGCTTTGCACTTACACAAAATAATAATTTTTAAAAATGTAATTACCATTTATTTAGGCACTTTAGAAATAGATAAGGTGACTACGAGCATTGTGTTATAACCACTATCACAAGGACAATGAACAAAGGGGAATTTCACAATGCAGAATCTCAAGATCTGGCAGAGAACATGTCAACATCAGAACTGGGAACAATACTGCAGCACTCACTGCACTGCTTCACACAGGCATAGCAAGTCTAAGCTGCTGTGCCACTTCAGGTACTGGTACAGGACATTGTACTGTCAGCCTGATTTGACTTTAACCTACCTAAAACATACGCATAAAATGTTAATGGAAGAATATTTATTGTCATATTTTCTCCTGGAACACAAGAAGCAAGTAGTAAAGCATCACTTGGCCATTACAGTTCAGAACTGTTTCAAAGACATTCCATAGATACCCATTCTTTAGCAAAGTGAGACCACTGGAAGGTAAAGAAGATTTTACTTACCAGACAAGCAAGTCTGTCAAGCAATGAACCATTGGGCATGTATTCATACACCAGACATGGCTGAGCACCATCACTTGAGAAACCAAGTAATTCTACTAGATTTTCATGCTGACACCTATAGCAATAAAAAAATAAATAAAAATCTGTTCATACATGCTCTGAAAGACTCACAACATTTGATGAAAATAAAAGGCAGAGGAAACTTGATTCGCAATTACTTGTTCTAGCCCTGCTGCACAAAGCCAGGTTTCTGTGGTGGTGCTTTAAAGCAACCAAAATATGGTTGTGCTGTGTAAGAAACGTTCTCACCTAACATGAAAATCATTAAGTTATGCTAGAAAGGCAAAAATCATGTAACGCTGTACTCACTTTGCCATTATGTTTATTTCTTGTTCAAATTGCTGTTTCAAGTCCTGAACACTGACATCAACCATCTACAAAAGGCAGTATTTTCATCAGTGGCCACATTCAAATGAGCAGTTGTTTGTCAATTTAATAAAAATTGGAATTGCAAGCCTTTCTTTAGTTTAGTAATATGTAACAACTAGTTACCTGTTTATAAGATATTTCTTACTCAGCCTGAGCTGCTCAAAGGAACCCTACCGAGGCAGCAACAATTACCTCTTGTGACTGTGCTGACTCACAACACTGATGGGACTACAGCATAAGGTTCTCAACCCAATGAATGTTTAACATGGTGACACTTTTTGAAGCGTAACATTCAACACCTTCCACAATAAACAGGATAAACAAGTCTATACTCTAAAGTACATGGTCATAAAAATGGAAAAATGCCCAGGACAACTCACAGCAACAAGCTTCTTGACAGCCACATTTCTGCCATTGATGTAGCCTTTGAACACAACACCAAAGCCACCTTCTCCCAGTTTGTTACCTCCAGCTGATTCTGGTCGGGCATCAAAGTTATTTGTAATGCTTTCCAAGTCATGGAACAAAAAATTATGGAAATCTGAAAGACAAATTTGCCATTTAGCACAAAGCTGTGTTTTCACTTAAGGAACAAGTGTATTGAATAGTTTTTCTGCCCCAGTTCTACTAAAACAAAAACTTGCTACCACACAAATCCTGACACAGTGGAGCCCTATTTCCAGCTTTGTGATGAAGATACCAGAAAACAAAAAAGGAAGATAAATATATATAATTAGCTATGCATAATTTTCTTTACAAATAGCACTGTAGCAGACTTCAGACTGTATTTTTTGTTCATACTCATAATACAAGTAATAGCAATTAACCATGCAGCAAATCACAGAGAGAGCCACACTGCCTTAGATGTAAGAAATATACCTAGACCACATCATGTTTCTTGCAGCAACCCAGAAGTGGACATTTAGAGAGGAATAGGCCAACCACACACTCTCCTAAAATGCCTTGAGTCATCTTTTCTCCAGCATTCTTAGTCATTCCTGACATATAAAATCCAGCTGAACAGTTGACAAAATAAGTATTGGAAAAGAGCAACAGGACTATGTGTGGCACAAACCACCCTGCAATTTAATTTAAAGTCAAGTTTTCCATCACAGCAAGTGACTTAACTGGCAAGCTGCAAGATGTTGTTTCCTATAGATACCTGATGACAGAACAGTCATCACTCTCATGGATTGCTATGATTTATTTCACATGGGGTGAAGGACAGATCAGTAAAAAATACAGTACTTAATTCTACCAAACTAAGTGCCTACCTGTGTTACTGGACTGTGAGCTGCTATTTTCCTGACTTAAGTGGGAAGGAGCTGAATGTTGCTTCTCAGTACTCTGAGCCAAAACAGGCTTTACAGATGCCACTTCTTTTTCCTGTACAGGTAGTTGTTTCTCATGCATAGGCAAAGTTTCCTGTGAATAAAGAGGTAATGTAGCTTCTTGTGGCATCTTTACAGCTTCTGCAAATGGAATTGAGAAAAAAAGTGTTAACTAGTTTAGGAACAAGAAGAAACAAGTAATATTAATGACAATATTTTTTGAAGATTAGGAGACACAAGCATCATGAGAAGGTTATATTCTGACATGATGTGTAAACTGCAGCATTTTTAGTGAAACTGGAAACTCTAATTCTAAACTGTTATTACAAGGAATAAAAAGTGGCACATATATCCACTTTTGCTTATTTTGACCTAATCCTTTCTGATTTTAAAATTACTGTGAAGCTCTTTAGCATCTTATAAAAATGAGAACACAATAGAAAATGTACAAAAGTAACAGTCACCTGGAAGCAAAAGGCTTGCTGGTGCTAGGAATTGATTCCTAATCAGCAGATCCACAAGATCAGCAACTGTACAGTTTGTCGTTCCCCAGTCATAAAGCAATTCACACGTTGGGCTCTTTCCCATTTGTACAAATGCTTCAAATCTCCTTAAAAGATAAATGAAAACCAACATTAAAAAACAAAAGTGGCCAAGAGACTTCAAGAACCATGGTAAAGAGATTAAAGACAAATGATCACAGAAAAAAATAAAACACTGAAAAAAATCTGAATATGCTGCACAAATCTTCTGAAAATCCAGCTAAAAAACCTAAAGACATTCAAAACCAGGGGAAAATATGCGAAATATAGGAAAAACTAAGGGGAAAATATGCATACACAACTTCAACATTTTGCCCAGTACCAGTAATATATTGGCACATGGAACTAACAAAGATTGTCACCAAGAAAGAGAGGGTAAGTCAGAGCCTGATCAAATGGAAAAATAATTGGTTTCCATCCATTTGGTATTCATATCTCATTTTGAATACTTTGAGATGAGCACTAGGCAGAAATTGAGATCCAGGATTCTGAGTGATTTACTACTATTACAAAAATACAAAGATTTAATGCTAACGTCCTTAGAAGAGATTGGAGACCCAAGATAATACATGCAGCATTTAAAATCTCACAACCTTTGAAACAAGACCTTCAAGCAAGAAAATGCTGCTGACATTACTTCCCAATTAACTTGTTAGCTTTCAGCCTTAGGCTCCCCACATTTGTTGGACACTTTCTTGGGAACAGTGAAATTAGGAGTTACAGTCTCTTAGGCACAATGAGGTCAACGTTCAGGAGTGTCTATAGAGTACAGAAAGTTACACGGCCAATGTTCTATTACTAAAAACACATGTATCTGTGGCTCTAATTAATTCCAACCTCCTCAATCCTCTTTGGCTAGAGATTGCCTGAAAAACGACCTGCAGGACGAGTAGGAGTAATTACCTCGAGTTCCCTAAGGGAAACCGCAACAAGTCACAGTAACCGGATGGGAAACGAGATAGAACCAACAAACAATTCACATGAAAGAGGAAACACAAGAGATTACGCCACACAACTTTTATACAACACCTGATATGCATCTGGCTGTATCTGCTTTCACCAGACGCGTCGCTTTCGCAAGCTTCTTCCCCCCTTCCTGCGGGTCGATCAGGTCTGCCAGCCGCCTCAGGAGACCATAGCTCAGGCAACGAACGAACGTGGAGCTCGTCACGGGCTGGTTCATCTTCAGCTCCTGCGGGACACAAACGACACCGTCACCCCGCGGAGGTTCGGCCGGCGGTGCGGG